TATAAGCACACAGAGTGGAGGCATTCATGGCATTTCAGTGTCTGGATCTGTCCAGTCAAAGGCAAAGAGATACTGGGGTGCAGGGGAATGCAGAAGAAAGCGACCTTTAGTTCTAGAACTATGAACTAGTTTAACAGCCCATAGTTTAAAAGCTTAGATGGGGTGGAATGGAGATCTCCTCTCGCTGGGACTAAGGTAGATTCCTCTGACCAAGAGCAATTGTTTTTCTTGGTGGGTGCTATCTCTGTGAGGATCTCCAGCTTGGATTATTGTCGGGAATTTAGTGAGCAAGTCCCTTGCCAACAAGGGGAGGGAGCACTCAGGCATGAGCAGAAACTGATGTGCAAAGGTAAAATTTCCTAGCAAGCAGTTGAGAGGAGGAGTGAATCACTGGTTTGGGGCTTTCCATCAATCCCTGTTATTATACAGCTTGTGGAGGACAAGGGTCCAGGGAAATCAGTCACCACAGAGTAGGCGGCCCAGGTCTCTAATAAGAAAATAACATTCCTACCTTCCATGTCAAAGGTTACCCGAGGCTTCTCCGGAGAAATGACCAGGTGTCCTTTGGGAGCCAGGGAGGGTCCCAGGCCCCATCAGTCTTCTATCCTCTTGGCCATCATTGCTTTGGGAGCTCCGAGTCCCCTTCAGGACTGGGAGCAGTTCTGCTTCCAGTGACCCTCTTGTTCACTCTTAAAACATGCTTTTTGGCAAGATAGTGACTCTGATCCAGCATTCCTGGGTCCTGTCCTCACCATGGGTCTTTGCAAGGAATGGTAACCCTGAGGTGGTGCAGGGGTTAGGGCTGCTGCCAATTGTTGTGCTTTTTGCTGTTGTCCCTGAATCCTTTTTGCCTCTCTGTTGTTAAATACTCCAAAGGCCAAATCCATGAGCTGATTTATGGGGGTCTGGTGTCTCCAGCTCCTCGGATGCAGCATCAGGGGTAAATGGTCCGGAAGACTGTCCCCCCTCACAATTGGGGGAGGTAGGAGTTCGCGGTAGACCTCTCGGGGAGGTGGACTCATAAAGAGATCATCTAAAACATTTGGCTCCTGTGAAGAAGGCACTTTGAAAGGGGTGTGAGCCAGATACACCCGGCAGTTCTTTAGACCTGGATTATGGAATAGAGTCATGAACATTTGGATGTATGGGACTTCCCCCCATTTACCTTTCCTTTTACAAAATAGGTCCAGTTGCAAGATGGTATTGTAATTCAATGACCCAATTTTTTTTTTGGCCAGATCACTTCGTCCCCTAGTTTGTATTGGGACCATACAGTATTGCAAAAGAAAATTAATTTTTTTCTTAAACCACCCTGTCTAAATTTTCTCCAGTTAGTTAATATGCATCTGTAGCAGGGAAGAGCCAAATCAGACTACATGTTGGATCTGTTTCATTTACTTTATCTTTTTATTTATTTATTTGATGTTTATTTTTACTTTTATTTTTTTATTTTTGGCTGCGTTGGGTCTTTGTTGCTGCGTACGGGCTTTATCTAGTTGCGGCGAGCAGGGGCTGGAGCAGGGGCTACTCATCGTTGCAGTGCGTGGGCTTCTCATTGCAGTGGCTTCTCTTGTTGCGTAGCACGGGCTCTAGGCGCGCGGGCTCAGTAGTTGTGGCTCAGGGCTCTAGAGCGCAGGCTCAGCAGTTGTGATGCACTGGCTTAGTTGCTCTGCGGCATGTGGGGTCTTCCCGGACCAGGGCTCAAACCCATGTCCCCTGCATTGGCAGGCAGATTCTTTTTTTTTTTGCTGTATGCGGGCCTCTCACTGTTGTGGCCTCTCCCGCTGCGGAGCACAGGCTCCGGACGCTCAGGCTCAGCGGCCATGGCTCACGGGCCCAGCCGCTCCGCAGCTTGTGGGATCTTCCCGGACCGGGGCATGAACCCGCGTCCCCTGAATCGACAGGCGGACTCCCAACCACTGCGCCACCGGGGAAGCCCGGCAGGCAGATTCTTAACCACTGTGCCACCAGGGAAGTCCTGTTTCTTTTACTTTAACCTTTGCTTTCTGCTGCTTTTTTTCACTAAAAGGATACTGTCTATACATAATGGCCTGCCTTGGGGAACCCTGCCCCTCTGCCTGAATGTTAAACCAAAGTGCCTTTGTTCAGGGAAACATCCGGACCCTGTTCCACTTGTGGATGGCTACAAGAAAGAAGAAATTAACACGTCCCCTACCCGAGACTGGCCATTCCAGGTGATATTTGCAGAACTTATGGCCTTTTTACTTTATTTCCTCATCTCCTTCCCTTCTCTGTGCTATAAAAGAAACTGGCATCCAAACCACGATAAGATGGTTATTTTGAGACTTTAGTCTGCCATCTTCTTGGTTTGCCGACTTTCTCAATAAGGTCATATTCCTTGTCTCAATACCTCATCTCCCATCTGTTGGCCTGTTGTGCAGCAAGCAGGGCGAGCTTGGACTTGGTAACACATCCTAGCAGCGAGTCCTTCGGGATGCTTGTAGTTGCCCCCATTTTTTTATTGGGATGTCCTGATAAGATGGGAGTCTGATGGATACCGGCCAGGTGGTAGTTATTTGTCCTGACATTCTCCTAGTGTCAACAGTGGGGTCCCTGTGAGCACCCGAAATCTGCCTGGTCGGTGAGCCTGAGTAGGCCCTTTGGATTAGTCAAGGAAAGGAACAAGAGCCAGTGGGAGAAAAAGCAACCAGAGTCCCAGGGCCTAAATCCTTCAGAGAGGGAGGTAGGAGACCTAGGCCCTGAGCAACTAAATGGATTAACTTTATCAATTAAACAAAAGAAAAACAAATAGAAGGGTAGGGCTGAAGGGCCACAAGGCAGTGATAACAATACAAGGTAACAGCTCCCCTCAGGATATGGTCCTTTTGATGTTGAGGAGGGCTACCTCTCCACAGAAGTAAAAGAGGCAACACCCAAGTGCTGGCAAAGCCAGCTGGGAGGCTCAAGGATCAGTAGACAGTCCAAGAAGTCAGGAGAGAAGGAGGATGATAAGAGAAATCCAGGACCGGAGGGAAGGTGTACAGCCATGCTGCTTCCTAAGAGAGATTTGTAAGGTGCTCACCCACTACCTCCGCTGAGGGGTTGATAAAGTCTGCCTGGGACCCCCACAAGAGAAGTGCTTATGCACACTTCTGCTCCGGGGTGTCTGTGTGATATCTTCTTAATACTTCAAAAGACGCAAATACAAATTAATGTTTAATATAAGGTTTAGATATAAAATTACTGCATTATATCTAAGACATTGAGATTTAAAGTAGATATTTAATCACAGTGCAATTGAAAAGCAGACATTGAAGGCTTAGACCATTGAAGCTTTAAAGTTTTTAATTAACAGTGGCCTTGAGAATTAATTATATCTGACCATACAAGATATCCAGTACCTTGATGTTATCCCTGAGAATTAAATATGTGCTATAAGGGGAAATAAATTGTTTCAATGTTTCAAACAATTGTATTCTTCATTGGTGTTGAGGTTGGAGCATTCCTTATGACGCTGGGGACAAAAATCTAACGGGAAAGTCTTGTTTTCAGTGAGGTGTTTTTTCTTTTTCTTTTTAAAAAAAATTAATTAATTAATTAATTAATTAATTTTTGGCTGCTTTGGGTCTTCGTTGCTGCACACGGACTTCCTCTCTAGTTGCTGTGCGCGGGCTTCTTATTGCAGTGGCTTCTCTTGCTGCGGAGCATGGGCTCTAGGCGCACGGGCTTCAGTACTTGTGGCTTGCGGGCTGTAGAGCGCAGGCTCAGTAGTTGTGGCTCACGGGCTTAGTTTTTCCGCGGCATGTAGGATCTTCCTGGACCAGGGCTAGAACCCGTGTACCCTGCATTGGCAGGCGGATTCTTAACCACTGCACCACCAGGGAAGTCCCCAGGGTGTTTTTTCTTAAGGAATAGATGCTTGTCCTACTTTAAGTAATGGGAACTTTAAGCATATATGTGGAAATAAGAAAACCAGGAATCTTACATGTTGGAACCCAGGAAGAGCTGTTCTTATTGTTCTTACCAATTCTTATTGGGGAGAGATAGGCTTTCAGAGATTTGAATATGTTTTTGGGAACTGAAGCTTCTTCTAGATCTGAGTTTTCTCATTGTCTCACCCCCAACAAGCAGTTTCTCATCCCTGTGGTTCTAGCATGTGAATGTAGTTCAGAGAGGAGCTTTTACTGGTCTAGTTCACTACCACCGCTCCCGGTGAATAAACTTTTGCACCAGCTGGACTGCTGGCCAGCCTAGAAATTGTTGTTCTTGGCGTCTGATACTTACTCCTGGTGTGTCAGCTGTGGATGGGGCACTGGGGTCTCGGGGTAGAGCACACTGCCACCTATGAGATGGAATCGCCTTAGTCCCCCTTCCAATCCTTATTCTTCATCAGGAAAGTCTTTTCCAGGAGTGGTTGTAGGAGTGGTAGGTATTTGAGGTTTGTCTAGTATATTGCTTATTGGTTTAACTGCATAGCATAATTTATATATTTAAAAGCATGTATAAACTAAAAGCCAATTCACTAACTGGGAATGTAGGACGTACATGATGTCCCTAGTACTTATTTATCTTATAGCTAGAAGTTTGTACAAGTCATCCCTCAGTATCTGAAGGGGTTTAGTTCCAGGAACCCCCAGGATACCAAAATTCCCAGATGGTCAAGTCCTTTATATAAAATGGCATAGTATTTGTATATAACAAATACTATCTCTAGGTTATTTAAACCTGATGCCATGTAAATGCTGTGTTAATAGTGTAAATACAATGTAAATAGTTGCCAGGTGCAGGGCAAATTCAAGTTTTGCTTTTTGGAACTTTTTGAAATTTTTTTTGCCAATATTTTTGACCCATGGTTGATGAATTCTCAAATGCAGAACCTGCAGATAGGAGGGCCCACCATGCCTTTCGACCACCTTCTTCCAGTTCCCCCTCCCCCACCTCCTGAAGTTTTGGGTATTTAATAACACTTTTGTAGCCTGATCTTTACTCTTTACAAAGATTCAAGCTATTTGTTTTTGTGATTCTATTGCCTTCTGCAGAAATGAAGCTGTTGTCATTTCGGGAAGGAAACTTGCTGAGCAGATCAAGCAGGAAGTGCGGCAGGAGGTGGATGAGTGGGTGGCGTCAGGCCACAAACGGCCGCACCTGAGCGTCGTCCTGGTTGGTGAGAATCCTGCAAGTCACTCCTATGTCCTCAACAAAACCAGAGCAGCTGCCGATGTGGGTATGTGTCGCTCTCAGACCCCGACTGCTGTTAAACTGAGACTTATCCGAGGCAAACTCTATTGCACTTTATGATTCCTTTTTCTGATTAGAAAACCCAGGCAGAGGAGGCTAATGTGATTGAACTGTATCCAAATATTTGTCATAAAGAAATCAGGCTGTCTATTGGGGAGGCTTATAGACTAGGACAGGAGGAATATGGTTGGTATTCTTGGTGTCTTCTGGAATGTAATCTAAATTCTGTTCTAGTCTAACATTTGATAGGTGACCTTGAACACAGTTTACATCTGCTTTCCTTGAGCAATAATGAGTCTGAATGAGGTGTTTGAGCATTTGGTTGAGGAGACCTCAATGATATGGCCTAGAACACAGTCATGGATTTGAAGGAAATGACTCTGACTTCTTTGAAATAGCCTTTGATTTCTCCACCAGTTGCTTCCAAAGCCAATGAAATCAGCAGTTTAGTGGTTGGAGGTTTGAGTGCAGGAGGCACAGGTCTGAATGATGGGAGGTTTGTGTTCTAGGTCTCGCTGTACTGCAGACTCTGTGTGGCCGCAGACCAGAGGTGGGTAGGCTCAGCTGTGCCGTTGCCGGCTTATCTGTGGGTCAGTGGTCTGAGAACTGTGTGCCTGCCCTTCTGAAGGGCTGTGAAACCACTGACGTGTCTGGCCAGTGTTACTGGACTGTGAGCCCTTGGTATACTCTATTCTTTATTACTGAGGAATGAAGCCTCCTGCCCTTTTCATTGAAAAACCTTTAGAACCTCTAGAAAATAGTAAGCCATGGCTTTCTAAGACATTGGGATGGGAGGTAGTGTGATACAGTGGAAAGAACATGGACTTTGGAACTGGAAAGATTGTCACCAGCCAGCTTGTGTTTCAATTTCACTGAGCCTTGTCTATAAAATGAGGTTGATGAGGATTATGTTGTATAATATATAGAAAGTATCAAGGTAGGGGGAAGGGTAAGCTGGGACAAAGTGAGAGGGTGGCATGGACATATATACACTACCAAACGTAAAACCCATAGCTAGTGGGAAGCAGCCGCATAACACAGGGAGTTCAGCTAGGTGGTTTGTGACCACCTAGAGGGGTGGGATAGGGAGGGTGGGAGGGAGGGAGATGTAAGAGGGAAGAGATATGGGGATATATGTATATGTATAGCTGATTCACTTTGTTATAAAGCAGAAACTAACACACCATTGTAAAGCAATTATACTCCAATAAAGATGTTAAAAAAGAAAAGAAAGTATCAAGCTAGTATTCTTTAGTGTTTGTATTTGGGAAGTTACTTAAGTTTACTTGTGAGCGGATTCAAGCTTTCCAGCTACCAGGGTGGGTATGATGACAAAAAGCCTCGCTGGTAGCGTGGCAGGCAACGTAGCATTGTCTCAATAAATGCCTCTTTTTTTTTTACCTTGAAATTTTCTTATAGGAATCAACAGTGAGACAATTGTGAAACCAGCTTCAATTTCAGAGGAAGAACTGTTGAATTTAATCAATAAACTAAATAATGATGATAATGTAGATGGCCTCCTTGTTCAGCTGCCTCTTCCAGGTGAGATTTGGACACCACCATTTAAAATGATTTCTGGGGATTTCTCTGGTGGTCCAGGGAGTAAGGCTCTGTGCTCCCAATGCAGGGGACCTGGGTTCGATCCCCGGTCAGGGAACTAGATCCCGCATGCCGCAACAAAGATCCCACATGCTGCAACTAAAGATCGCGCATGCTGCAAGGAAGATCCCGCATGCTGCAACTAAGACGCGGTGCAGCCAAATAAATAAATATTTTAAATGATTTCTGAGGAATGGAGAGGCTTGTTTACTTTATACAACTGGCCCCTTGTGTAGATTTGATATAAAGGGGAGGTAAACTCAAGAGAGAGAGTATGTTATTAGATATGGGACAGACCTACTCAGAATACCAATTACTCCTTGATTTGGTATTGAGATCTTAAAGCAAAGGACCGTGGAAGGAAGCAGTTGTACAACAGGACACTGGCTTTGATCTTGGCGTTTGGCTTTGCTCGATGTGTGTTCTTTATATGCAGATGAAGAAATAAGTCATGGGGGCGAGCTGTAAAAGCGGAATAGGTTTTTGTGGCAAACCAGGTAAGCTGGAGTCAAGCAGTGCTAACTACGTAACAGTGACTTAAGACCACTGCTCTGATTTCTTTTTCAGAGCACATTGATGAGAGAAAGATCTGCAATGCTGTTTCTCCAGACAAAGATGTTGATGGCTTTCATGTAATTAACGTAGGGCGAATGTGTTTGGACCAGAATTCCATGTTACCAGCTACTCCATGGGGTGTGTGGGAAATAATTAAGCGAACTGGTAGGTATATCCATCTCAGTATTATCAAGGCAGTACTTACAAATGGTAAAAATTCATGCAAAGAGTGGAAAGTCCCATCCCACAGCCTCTAGTCCTGCTCCCCAGAGCCTAACTCCTTTAGCAGTTGCCTACAACTGTTTTTGCTGTTTAATCCAGAAACCTCTGAGGGAAACTTAAGCTTTAATAGTGGTGACTGTGCACACTCATAACATTTTGCAGCTTATAAAATGTTTCCTTTTAACTTTCACTATGTGCAGCGAGTGATAGTCCAGTTGACTGATGAGGCAATAAGCTTAGTGAATTCCTTCATTACCACAATTAGAGTCACATCCTAGGCCATCAGCCTTCCTTTTCCTTAGGTGCGCTTTCTAAGATAATTAGGCACTATCTTAAATGCAAATATATTTATTTTTCATAGGTATTCCAACCCTGGGGAAGAATGTGCTTGTGGCTGGAAGGTCAAAAAACGTTGGAATGCCCATTGCAGTGCTGCTGCACACGGATGGGGCGCACGAACGTCCCGGAGGTAAGGGTTTTGCTCCCAGGGATGAGTCCTCTTCTCCCTTACGAGAGACAAGAAACGCTTGAGAGACTGCCCTGTGGATGTTTGGAAGTGTTAACTTTGTTAAACTTTGTTTTTGTTGTAATTTTGTTAATAGGTACTTGGGGAGTAGTCTTTGTAGGAGAAGCTGCATTCAGTGTCACTTGAAAGTTCATTTATATTCACTAGTATGGAACTAGTTCAGAGATAGATATGCCTCAGAAATTTGAGTTTTGAGTATAAGCATGGTTGTAGACAATTAGAATTTCCAGTTATGGCTTTGATAGTTGGAGCTACGATGTAGAACTTATTCAAAGTTAGTGTCCTGTTCTGTGCCATTTGGTAGAAAAAAATCTTAGACCAATGCAAAGGATTGAATTGATGTTACTGTAATGTGTCATCATTGTGTCAAGTTCTATTAATTTGAGAAAAAGCTTCAAATCAGAGTTAATGTGATTATCATAATATGACTATACATGATTATATCAGAAATAATGTCAAAACTAAATATTTCCAGGTATCTTTCAGCACACGTTTAAGAAAAATCCTTGAGTAATCCTAGTGATATTTTGTTTAGAAAGACTGTTAAATAGGATAAGGAATAAATCTAAAGATGTATGACTCCAAAGGGTGGAGCTAGAACCAACAGGTAAAAGTTACAAGAAATTGAGTATTTGTTTTTTTTGTTTGTTTGGTTGGGTTTTTTTTTGCGGTAGGCGGGCATCTCACTGTTGTGGCCTCTCCCATTGCGGAGCACAGGCTCTGGGCGTGGAGGCTCAGCAGCCATGGCTCACGGGCCCAGCCGCTCTGCGGCATGTGGGATCTTCCCGGACCGGGGCATGAACCCGTGTCCCCTGCATCAGCAGGCGGACTCTCAACCACTGTGCCACCAGGGAAGCCCTGAGTATTTGGTTTTTTTTAAAAAAGGACAATTGGCTGCCCAGAAAGTATGGCACAGGAACTGTCAATTATTTTTTCAGAGATGTTGAATTTCTGGCATGGTTTGCCTAGTTGAGATCTCATCCATTCCCAGCTTTGATTCGGAAATATTTTTTAACTCATAGGTGATGCCACTGTCACAATATCTCATCGATATACTCCCAAGGAGCAGCTGAAGAAGCATACAGCTCTTGCAGATATTGTGGTCTCCGCTGCAGGTAAGAGCACCAGGGAAGGGGCGGGGGCACGTCACCTCAGAGGGTGAAGATGGGACTCTCATCTTCGAATTTGCCTGCTGCACTGCTGTTCCATTCATTATTCCCCTAGGATTGATAATGTGAGCTGCTTACAAAGATGAAGAGAATAGTCGTGGTTGGAATACTGATTTCTGGCATTCCATTATAGATTTGATGGATGAATGTTTTTTCTACAGCCTGTTTACTATATGAAGTTTAAATGTTTCCTTGGTTAATAGTTTTTATAGGTTTTTGTAAAACAAGCTAATTCGTTCTTCCAGGTCTCTTGAAATTGAAAGTAGATAAGAATCTTATCTAAGAATCTTCTTTTCAGTACTAAACCATTCCTATCAGTACTAAATCATTCCTATCTCCATTTCTAGGCATTCCAAATCTGATCACAGCAGATATGATTAAGGAAGGAGCAGCTGTCATTGATGTGGGAATAAACAGAATTCAAGATCCCATAACTGCTAAACCCAAGTTGGTTGGAGATGTGGATTTTGAAGGTAAATGGTATAATTTTTTAAAAATATAAAAGTCAATAAATACTATCGTTATTGGACATTTAGGGCAGACTATTTTAACTTTTAAAGTTATGTTACCTTGGTAATACCATTTAAAATGCTTTCCATGAGAATTAATTAAGAAAAATCTTTTTAACAATTATAGTCATTCTAGAATTATTTTAGGTGTTTGTATCATCAAATTATGGAGAACAGATATAGAGTTTTCAGAGAATTGTTTTGTTTTTTTCTGCTTAGGTCTATTTTATAATTAAAACAACTTCAAGACTTTTAACAAGTCTGAAAATTTAATGAAGTGATTTTCCTAAACTATTGAGTCTCCTAAAAAGTGTTACAGATTTCTCATTTTCATACTGGGAGGAGAGATCACAGACCTGGCATATTAAAAGTATGGGACAGAGCCAAATTGCTAAAATTTTGGAATTTGCTAGTAGATTTCTCCTTTTAGTTCTGATTTTATCTGAATTTTATGCCAATAATCCTATTTCTAGCTTTCTGTTTCTTCTAAAGCAGTCAGACCCAAGCCTAGGTATGTAAGTATTTTTCCCTTTAGATTGGAATAAAAAAAATCTTACTTTTTACTTTCCAGAAAATTACTTTGCTTGATGCTTTGGGCAAACAGTATAGTTAAATAAATAGGATAAAATTAAGAAAATATTGTAGGCAGGTATTAATTGAAGTAATGCTTATTATTATTATAGTTACACTTCCCATACAGTTAACATACTGAAATGTTTCTTTTTAAGTTGATTTAATATGGAGGGAAAGTATGGCTGGTAAATTATAGGTTATTTAGATATATAAATATTCACTGAACAACTCTGCTTATTATATGTGTGTTATTGATTTATTTATTTTTGGCCGCTCCACACAGAATGCGGGATCTTAGTTCCCCCACCAGGGATCAAACCCGCACCCCCTGCAGTGGAAGAGCAGAGTCCTAACCACTGAGCTGCCCGGGAAGCCCCTATATGTGTGTTATTTTATATTAGTATGTTCAAAAGCCTTTACTCTTGAGTAATGTAGCTGTGATTTTTTAAATGAGTTTGAGGCTTATGAAGATGCTTATGTATTTTATTGCTTTTTCTTTGAATGCTTCTTCCATGATAAAGTACATACAGTTCCTTTGCCATAATTAAAGCAGTCTGCCTGTCTTATTTCTATGTAGGAGTCAGGAAGAAAGCCGGTTACATCACTCCAGTCCCTGGGGGTGTTGGTCCCATGACAGTGGCAATGCTAATGAAGAATACCATTATTGCTGCAAAAAAAGTGCTGAGGCTTGAAGAGCGGGAAGTACTGAAGTCTAAGGAGCTTGGAGTAGCAAGTAATTAACTATTGCGTCTTCCGTGTCATGAACAGCACTCCAAGCTAGTTCACGAGGAAAACCAGGCCAATAGAAATGCAATATTTATTCTACTTAAATGGTTTAAAACAATGCTTTCTATTTATTTGTAAGCTTAAATGGGTGGGTGTTTGCACACATAGCCCTGCAGTTACCCACCAGGGAACATCCACTATCGTGCTGGGTCATGGGATCCAGCCAAGAGAAGCCATTAACCTACTGATTAACAGGGGGACACTGTCACACTGAGAATGGCTGCCTAACTTTGTCAACCACTTCAGTTAAAATTTGTCTTTTTTGGGAGGGCAGCTATGCTTACCACTATACCACCAACGCTGCACAAATTTGTCTTTTCTACGATTGCATTTCCCAAGTGCTATTCCAATAATGAGTTGATGCTCACTTTAGGTTCCAAACCTTTTGAGTTCAACTGGTCAAACCAAAGGAAAAATGTTGCAAGAGGAAATTAGGGAAAAGGTAAAAAAGAAAGAAATGATGGTAGTTGAGTAGAAAAAAAATTACCTTAATTTAATATATGTATTGATTGATAACCAGAAGAAAAACTACATGTTAATAGTCTCCTAAGCTGTCATTTTGTAGCTTAGCCATTGGGAAAATGTTTGGGGTTGTTTCATTTGCTATTAGCTCTCGTTTTATGTTCGTTACCATTCCTGAGGTTTCCCCATTTTAGTTTTCTAGGATTGAAAGGCTTATTTTATAAATTATTCATGTGTGTTGTCATATTTGACTTTCCTACATCCTTAAACTTCACTGTCAAATTTTTTTTACTGTTGGGGGTGTCTGTATGGTTTCTTTAGTGTATCTTGAAACCTGTATTTGGAAAACATAACTTGGGCTTAATGATCATTAGGGCAGCTTGTATAAATGTGCAACTTACTTTTCCACCAAAGAACTGTCAACAGCTGCCTGCTTTTCTCTGATGCACCTGTTGGCTTTCCTTGATTGATTTTTGAGAACTTGAGTTAATACTGAATTTAATCAGACTTTCTGATTAAAGGACTTTTTTCCTTCATTTTGTTTTTTTAAATAAAACACTTCTGACTGGTATAGAATGAGTTTCTGAAATACTGTATCTTTCTGCTACTATCTTGTTGTGACCTAATTTTTCTCATTGGATGTAATCAACCTAAATATTCCTGTATTTGGTAATACCCAATCCAATGCCTTAAACAAATTGGTTTAAAGAGCTGTGGAAAAACCAGACTAGTCCTTTTAATCTTACATCCCAAAAGGTTGTGCCAAGCCAGGAGTTTAATCTGTAAGATTCATTTAAGTGGTTAGTCTTGTTCTGATTATTTTCTAAACCATGTGTTCAATTTACACAGGACTTCTTGATGTGCTTTGCCAAGCCCCCCCCATATATATAAATTTTTTTTCATGTGTCTGTGTGTGTGTGTTTAAAGCATCAATGATTGCACAGATCGAAAGGTATTTGCTGTGGCACATTTGCAGCGAGGATAGGTCCGGTGTATTCTGCTCAAGGGCTAGGTATTTGGCTTTCATGCAGGCAGAAGCAACTCCTGTTCCAGGCAGCTTGAGGCAGAGAGGAAGGAGAGCAATGCAGAGCTGACCTTCTCCCGCCTTGTTCATGTGCCGCCTTTATGCTTTTTCTTATACATTTATTTATTTTATTTATTTGTTTGGGGCTGTGTTGGGTCTTCGTTGCTGCACACGCTTTCTCTAGTTGTGGTGAGCGGGGGCTACTCTTCATTGCAGTGCGTGGGCTTCTCATTGCGGTGGCTTCTCTTGTTGTGGAGCACGGGCTCTAGAGCACAGGCTCAGTAGTTGTGGCGCACGGGCTTAGTTGCTCCGCAGCATGTGGGATCTTCCCGGACCAGGGATCGAACCCGTGTCCCCTGCATTGGCAGGCGGACTCTCAACTACTGCGCCACCAGGGAAGCCGGTCGCCTTTATGCTTTTGATAGTTTTCTGGAGATGAAGAGGGGTGATAGTTGCTAGAGATATTTTTGCAAGTGAGGTGTAGTTCCTATACATCAGCCATGCCTGCTGACTCACCCAAATTATTAAACATGGAGCGAGACGAGCAGACAGGATTAAGTTTTATTGAACTGTAGTTACAAGTTATTGTTACTGCATGGAGAAGTACCAATATGTCAACCTATTAAAAGCTATGGAAATTAAAATGTTCGTGTGTGTGTGTGTGTGTGTGTGTGTGTGTGTGTGTACAAAATGCAAATGACAGGCAATGTGAAAATTACGGTGATCAGTTTACAACAACAAAAAATTAACATTCTAGTTTTCCAGCTTGTTTGATTAATCAAGCACATTTACTCCTGAATCCACAACATTTCTACAATTCAATTTGGACAAAATGCTATTGGAAATCAGCCAGTTTTTAAAACTGAAATGTTGAGGGTAGATTGTTAGCTCTCCCAAAATTGGTGCAGATGAAGACAAAGAATTTATACTTAAGCTTAGGCAATGGTTCTGGATTAGTGAGCAGCTAAGTAATTCTGCTGCTCTCAGTAGCAGTGGTGGAGGTTTAGAGCTTTACCTCATGGCAGTATCCTTGGAAGGGCGTTCTGAGATTTAATTTAATAAACACTGAGAGCTTTCTATGGACCAGGCACTGTACTGGCTCTGGGGATTACAGAGGCAATTAACTGTCCCTGTACTCAAGGTGGTTAATGATCTAGTGTCATTTGTCTTTAAAAAATAGGAAGGGATAAAGAAAAAGCACCTGCATTTGTCATCTTGAGTAAATGTGGTAACCGTAACCAAAGTGATTTACTCAAGATTCAAATCCACAGTTTTTTTGGAGAAGGTAAATGTCAGATGCATTGTGGCTATCAGGCACACAGTAGGTGGTAAATAAACATGGTTGGTGTTTGTTAAATGTGACTTGAAGATAAGAAGACTGATCTTAAGTTTCACAGGAAAAGAGTTTGCTTCACTATTAACAGGTTTTAAATCTACCCAATTTGTTTCTAATTATTCCTTTAAAGTACTAGTCTGACTAGTATTGCAGAGTTGTAATCTTCCAAAATTTCACATGAGCCCTGCCTAATATGCAATATTAATGTGAATGCAAGTTTGACTTTGGGAATCAGGCCATTGAAAACTTGCAGGAAAGACCTACCCAAATGCATAATGAAATGTGATTCTGGGCTTGAAAAACCAGTGATACTAATTTAAAGGATCATTTTGTTGATTTGCCATGTGATTTGAGATTTCATTTTAACAGGAACTATTTTGTTTTTAAAATATTCACTCAAACATGTTGGTTATTTCATTACCAGACTTTTAGAAATAGCTTTCAATCTGGAAAAGCCCCAGTCACACTTCTGTGCTGGAACGAGGCTCATAATGCAGATAGTTCAAACTTGTCATATGACCCTTAGAAAACTGAATTGGATGAGAGATAAGAGGTCCTTTTTAGCATTTCTTAATATGCAAAATTGCAAAACAAATTTTCCAACCTTGGTCTATTAAAGTATGAGTATTTTAAGTTGTTTTAAGACCATCTAGATAATTTAAAATCTCAGCTTTAAAAAAAAAATCTTAACTGATATTTGTTTTAAATAAAAATTGAGTAGTGCCCCTTTATCTTAGCTACAGTTTGAGAGAAAGCATTTTTTCATTTCAAAAGAAATGTTATAATTTCTATGCTGGACTGCATTTTAAAATAAGGTGTAACATTTAGCTTTAGTTCTTTTCATAACTACAGAGGGAAGTAGAGGGCTTTGCACATAAGTAGTACTTTTCATCAGCAGCTCTCCAGTTTTCTATCAAGCAGAATGACTCCCTCTGTTTGGCAAATAAGGAAACGGGTTTGGAAAAGTGAAGGGTTTTGGCCCAGACCCTCACAGTGAAGACTAAACCAGGCCCTCACTCTGTGCCCCGTCCATCCTCCTAGAGGGTGGTCTCGCTGTCAGCTTCTCTTCCGTATCTTTCCATGTCTGTGAAGTCACAGTCTGGCTCCATCTCTATCTTCACCTGTGGCACCATGAAGACTGGGCTCTGTGAGTAGCTGAAGGCAGGTGAAGCTGGACAGGAGATTTTGAAGTGTAGGGTGATGCTGAATGAGAAAAAGAAGAGGGAAGAACGATTTATCTAGGATTTGGTGTTTTTTAATGCTATCCCCCAGAACAGGGTTCTAGTGCAAAGAGTTCTGTCTTTGCTTTTGAACTCTTGACACATCACAGGAATAGCAGTATCCTATCTGCTTGGCCTTCAGCTGTCACAATTACTGGTCTCACCCTTTTTCAACCTATTTATCACATTGCTGCCAAAGTGGACTTTTTGGATCATGAACCTGACTGTGGTTCCCCACTGTTCAAAGGAGAGAATTCAAGCTCCTTAGCCTGGCGAGGCAAGAGCCTTCTTTGCTCAAACTTCTGCCTGCTTGCTGTTTGCCCCATCCATCCTGGGTTCTTTGCCCTGTGTCTGTGTTATATTTCAGGCCTTTTCTCAATACCTGCAGTGCCTTCTTTTCTCTCTTTTTTCTTTTACTCTGCACATCTGGAAGACTCCTATTTATTGTTCCCAGATTCTCTGGGTAAGGCAGATTCCTCCTTCAGATGCCTGTCCTTTCTCTTATGTGTGCTCCATTCTTGGCATGTGGTACACATGCCTGTCTTTCTGTATTCCCAGAGGTTAAGCATCATGCCTGGTAGATCATGGATGCTTAATCTTTGTTAAACCAGATCATGTTGCTGAGTTTTTTCCTCACTGAAATGGAATCCTGCTATTTAGTTGTCTTTACTTCTATGTACTTTCATAGATTCAGTAAAACACCAGCATAGCTGGGAGGTGCCATCACTAGTTATGAAATTTTCTGCATTTCTGACCTTGTCCCCTGCTTTGTGTACTTTAACAGGTTTTTGGAAGTGTCCTATCCTGGACCAAATTCTCCATTAACTGAAATTAGAGCAATTAGAGATTTAATTTTGTGTAGGCTACCTTAAAATGAAAATAAGATAGACAGTGCTTTTCTCTTAACACATTTATTTATAAAGATCTGTGGCATTAAGGGCATAGGAGCCCTGACTGGGGAGGTGGGATAAGAAGGCAGGCAGAGATGTCATTTTGACATGTGACACAGTAGTCTGGGGCCTGCTGCTTAGGGAGGCTTATTATACTGGTGATAAATCTCTTCTTATCCTGGCAATGTGATAACAGCTTTGACATATAACTCAGAAGATCCTGTACATGTTTCCTAAAATCTCTCAGGTGAGTCCCATCTCCGTCTGGAGCCAGCTACCTCTAGTCTTGGGATAGCCCGTGCTTTTACTGTCAGATGTAGCACAGTGATTCTTGTCCAGCTTAGGGCACACTGTAGGAGTGGGACTGCCCTCACCATCTTCCCTAGTAATGACTGAGGCAGACTTTCTTGCCTCTGAATTCCTCTTTTCTGTGTTTGATCCCCCCTTGTTTTCAGTCATCAAGTAGTCGCACCTTTTTTGAGGGTGGCTTCTCATTAAGAACAGCAAGGAATCACATGGTTGGCATGGGAGTTCCTGGAACCTGGGCCTTGAATCCTTTCTTGACTGTTTTTTTTTTTTTTTTTTTTTTTTGCGGTACGTGGGCCTCTCACTGTTGTGGGCTCTCCCGTTGCAGAGCGCAGGCTCAGTAGCCATGGCTCACGGGCCCAGCCACTCCGCGGCATGTGGGATCTTCCCAGATCGGGGCACGAACCTGTGTCCCCTGCATCGGCAGGCAGACTCTCAACCACTGCGCCACCAGGGAAGCCCTCTTGACTGTTTTTATCTCCACTTGATCATTTGATATTTAGTTAGCTTTCCTTGTTACCCTTTCTGACCTTTGCATATTAACCATGCTGTTATTTTACTCCACAAAGTATTAGAGTGCTTGGTGTTTTGATCTTTAGAGTTCATTCATCCTGGCTTTTAATAATATATACTTAAATCACGTCTAGTTTCCGTTTTCCTTTTTCAATATTTACTTTCAATTTTCATTCTACTTAATATTTTGTAATAATTTCCTTTTCTAAAGGTCAGTACCTTTGTGTGGTGTAATCATGTCATGTCAATAAGAGGACAGATTTGTTACTTGGACACTCAATAATCAGCTCTGTACCTTTGTGTCCTGTGGTGGACCAGCAAAGACCTTTTACTGAGACACTGGTTAGCCCGGGAAATCCTAGTCCCTCCACTTTCAAAGCCATTGCTAAGGCTCTTATCTATAGCACTCAGAGAGTCTCATCTCATGGCTGTTACCTTCGGTCGAGCTCTGAATCACTGAAGGGAGAATCAGAGTGAGTGACTCCAACTGGAAGGTCTCTGTCCTGGCAGGAAAATTAAAGCATCAGATGCGGAGCAGCTTTGTGAACTATTCTGAAGAACACACCCTCTTTCTACAGTGCCTCCCTCACCCATTTCTTCTCCTTTTCTATTCTCTGACCCCGTGGCCAGTACTACACAAGAGGAATACAGGGGCCTCACAGAGATAGGTGGCTTCTGGTTCAATTATTCCTTCACCCAGAGGTGGGTGAGAGGCATGGCGAGGGCCAGGGAAGAATGAAGAAAGGTGATGGAGGTATATACAGATGAGAAGGGGGAAGGGCATGAGAAATTCAAAAGGAGGGAGGGACTTCTGGAGGAGAATGTAATGGGAAGCCCTTCCTTGAAGGGCCCTTGTGGGGGCTGGCAGGATCCCCAGTATGGGCCTTTGGGGAAAGCGGCAAAGCCCTTAGGAGCGCCAGGGTCAGGACCCATGTTGGCATCTTTCAGACTACTCCCAGGATAGACTGTGTTGTCTTGATGACAAGACTGTCCACCAATAGGAAGCTGAGGCTGGAAGCGGGTAAAGGCAGCAATAAAATCCCCCAAGATCTTCATAAGCCACATTTGATCCTTCCCAGGCAGGTTCCCTTTCAACATGTGGAAGGTGCTTGTGAATCAAGCACATACATAATCACAACCCAACCACTAGGACCTTGACTAATTTATAATCCCAGTATAATGCTACTTGTTTTCCTAAAGGGGACAATTCAGCTTGGCTTTGAGCTCTCAATCATTTCAACAACCACTGGCAAACATGAGAGGCTCAGCAGGTCATGCAAGAGGGGGCAAGGTGGTGCCACAGGCATCTGAGGGCACTAGGGGTAAGGAGGGAAAGGGGGGGTTTGGCTA